TGTGTGTGTGTGTGTGTGTGTGTGTGTGTCAGTAAAACACAAAGAGGACAAAAGAGGGAAATGTTTTTGTTCTAGACTGTTCTGTGTTATACAAATAAAATAGGAAAGTGCTGAAAGCCAACATTTACTTCTTTATTAAATAAATAAATAATACAAGAAGTCTCCTTCTTTACAATAATAATAATAATACATAAAGTAATTAGTCAATAACCATTTCTTTCTTCACAATAATAATAATAATAATAAATTAGAATACAGTTAATAAAAACAGGAAAATGGTAATTAAGGACAATATTTACTAAAGAAGAATCATTTCATTCTGTACAATAAATAATTAAATAAATAAATAAAATAGAGATGTGCTGAAAATGTATATTTACTGAAGTAGGCTAGAAGTATTCAGAGGCGGACAAAGTACACAACTCCATTACTTGATACTGCTGGTCAAGTATGACTCCATTACAAGTAAAAGTTGTAAAGACAGATTTTTACTTAAGTAAAAGTACAGAAGTACTTGCTTTTAAAAGTACTTAAGTACCAAAAGTAAATTTCCTTTTTTATGTCAATGCACTGTTTTATTGTTGTTGTAATACTTGCAATAATTCTGAAGCAACTTACAATACATTACACCTGCTGAATACACTGACTAGCTTGTAGTATCTTTGGAATAAAGAGCTTTTAGAATGTTAAAAACCTATGGGGAAAAAATAATAATAATTATTATTATTTAACACCCCTAGCTACCACCACAAAAGCAGGATGGTAGTGATCTCACACAGCTCTGGACACATCTGTGTGTAGCCATTCATCCACATTTGAACAGAGTGGACAGTGAAATTGCTGTAAATACAGACTGATTAAAAATCAAGCCTGCTTTAAAACCCAGCAGCACAACTGTAGCTGTATAACTTTACAACAGCAACACTGCTTTAACAAAAATACAAAACAGCAAGACTTCTTTGACATCACAACAAAAATAGTAAAAATGCTGTCTAATCGCTCTCGCTGCACTTTGATGTCACGCACAGAACGGTCTGCAGTGCTGCTTCAAGTCCAACACCTTTTGTGTTTTATTAGGAGACGCACAACAGTTCTTCTGTGGCTTTATAGCTAATATTTTCACTTAAACAATTGAGCAAAATCAGACAATATCGTGTCTAATATAAACCACAATATTAACTTCTTATTGAATTGTTGTAAATAAATATCACATTTGCAGCTGGTCAGTGTTCAAAAAATGCGGGGAAATCACTTCATGTAGCCCTACAAGAGTCAATACTCAAGTAAATTTACTTAGTTACTGTCCGCCTCTGGAAGCATTTCATTCTTCGCAAAATAATACAAATTAATAACATATAAAAAAAAATGTAAGATGCCTCATGTTAATGCACATTTGTATTTTTTTTTAAACATTTTTATTAATTAGATCTTTTTCATGCAGTTATGTTATGCATGATAATGTAATTTGTATCTTGCTCTGTATTTCATTATAGGTTGATTATTAAATGTTGTATTTTTGATTACATGTTTAGATGTTTGTAATATTGTCTGTACAAAGGCACTTATATAGTGCACATAATGTAAACATCAAATATACATGTGTGTGTGTGTGTGTGTATATATATACAGTACGTATTTTCCCAGCAGTTAAAGCACGATTCACCAGAAAAACAGTCAACACATACATTTATTAAATATTATAATACAGATATCATATGCAGCACACACAATATACTATGTAGTTTCACAGATGACAATAAAAATATATAGGTTTCCAATACAGTTTCAACAAATCTTTAGTGTCTGTCGTTGTCAGTAGTGAGGCTGTGAGCCGAATACATCGATCAGAAGAGGTTTTTACAATTCACACGGCCAACATTTGTAGATATTATATTATGAGCTACATACAGCGCCGTTCTGTGTAAGCTAATGTTACAGGGCATAAACAGCGATACATACAGAGAGATGATATGATGGGGAGTTAGTGTCGATAACACTGGCACGTCAACCGATCGCTCTCGATTACAGCAGGTTACTACAATCACATCAGATCCAACAAGTGCTAGAAGTTCGGGACACCTTACAAAAGTTTGGCTGCTGGTAGAAGAGCACATCTGTACACACGCACACGTCTATATGGCAGATATACGTGAACATCAGCACACACATCCCTGAACAGAGAAACTTAAGGCAAAAAGATCAATACGAATGAAACGCTGTCTGGTGTTCGATTGTTTTTACAGTAAAGAAGCTTCACTGAGTGAGGTACTGTCATTGTGTAGCAGCTCAACAGCTTATCTGAGTGATGAAAACATGCGGCTCACATTTCACCCCTTTTTATTTTTATTTTGCATAAAGGAAATTCAGCCTATTTTTAAGACCATTTCATGACATTCAAACCCTGTCAAATAAATAAATAACATCTCATTTTCATTCAATCTAATGTGACATTTACATAATACATTACAATAATGATATGCAAACAAACATGCAAAAATCTAAACGGTCCTAAAAATAGAATGCAAATTTTTTTCATTGTATTTAAAAGTGAAATATGAGGGAAAAAAGCAAATTCAGCCTATTTTTAAGACCATTTCTTGACAAGTACGCACATTTTATCACCAAATAAATAAAATCTAATGTTTATTACTGTAATGTGGCAATACACACACACATATACATGCATGTCATGGTAGTGTTAATTCTTTTGATCATTTAAATTAAATATTTATTACAATAATGATTTACAAAAATTGTCAACATGCAAAAATATTAATGGTCAACCCTCTACATTGCGAGTAAATCACTCGCTAAGTCTTCACTCTGGGCGACTAAATGATGTCTAATATTAGCCAATGGCTAATCAATTCTCAGATTTTCCTCGCCAGTGTGTGAGTTGGACGCTAAGTATAAGTTAAGCACAGATATATTTTTACTCTTGAGTGCTTCAGAGTTTCACTCTTCAAGCGATCTGTGCTTTTTTCCGTTTCATCTGAATGGATGCGCAGCGCACCTGTATTTGACGCACCGTAAACTCTAGTGTGAAGGCGCACGACTCGCCGCCGCTTTGTCTCTCTCTCTCTCACACACACACACACACACACACACACACAGACAGACAGAGAGAGAGTTTTACACCATGCAGAATTGACGCGCTACATGTAAACGTGTAAACGTGTTGTATTTTCCTGTCAAAATAACGGAGTTCCTTTTGGAATTCTTCAGCTTTTAAGAACTGCCGGGTTTTCCTTGATTTCAGCGTATCAATTCGAGCGAACACACGCAACCTGATTAATATTCATGAATCCAGCAGCTCGTTAATCCTTAGTGCATTTTATATTGTTCTTTATTAGTAGAATTCTAATTATTATTATTATCTTATCAGTATTATTGTTAGTTTTTCCTCGTTTTTGTACATGCATATATGGTACATCAGTCTGGCAAGTAAACAAAAAAATTTACTAGCGATTCAATACACACACACACACGCACACACACAGACAGACAGAGAGAGAGAGTCTTACACACCATGCAGAATTGACGCGCTACATGTAAACGATATTCTTTGTTGTATTTTCCTGTCAAAATAACGGAGTTCCTTTTGGAATTCTTCAGCTTTTAAGAACTGCCGGGTTTTCCTTGATTTCAGCGTATCAATTCGAGCGAACACACGCAACCTGATTAATATTCATGAATCCAGCAGCTCGTTAATCCTTAGTGCATTTTATATTGTTCTTTATTAGTAGAATTCTAATTATTATTATTATCTTATCAGTATTATTGTTAGTTTTTCCTCGTTTTTGTACATGCATATATGGTACATCAGTCTGGCAAGTAAACAAAAAAATTTACTAGCGATTCAATTGCCAAGGTGTCCGTAGAGGGTTGATGGTCCTAAAAATGGAATGCAAATTTAAATGTTTTTTTTCCCTTTGTATTTAGAGGTGAAATATGAGAGAGAAAAAAAGAAAAATCTGCCTATTTTTAAGACCATTTCATGTCATTAAGCACAATTTACTGCCAAATAAATAAATAAAAATTCTTCACTGTAATGCAACAAAAATAATATATATATATATATATATACACACACACACACACACATACATATATCATGGTAATATTTATTCTACATCATTTACTTTATAAACAAAACAAAAAAACGCATTACAATAATGATTAACTAAATTTTCACAAATATTCAAACGCGTTAATGGTCCTAAAAATAGAATGCAATTAACATTTCTCATTTTTTCCTTTGTATTTAGAGGTGAAATATGAGGCGAGATTCTCCCAATCAGCTGAAAATGACACACAAATCACTTTCTTCACCGACGCAAACAGGTGCCTTCTCTTTTTCTGTGCAAACATCATGACGTGACGTGTGTATGCGAAACATCTGCAATAATAATTGTCTTAATTTTCACACGTTTAAAAAAATAAATAAATATACAGCATTATTTTTTAATACTTTGTGCTTTTAGAAAATCTGTCTTAGAAAGGGTGCACGCCATCCCTGCCATTCATAGATCATCTTTATATATTTCATAGCCACGACCTCGTATAAAACTATTCTCAGAGTATCCTAAATTTTTTACTATAATATCTCTCTTCATCTCTTATATATTCTCAGTCATGTTTACTCTTACCGACTACATGAAATTAAAATTAGTTTAGCTTTGAGTCCATAACTAAAATGTTATGCATTTTTGGCCGATCAGATGAGCGATTTGTCCCGCCCCCAACTTCCTATTTCAATATGCATTCGCTATAAATTAATCTAAAATATAATAATATTAAGTCTGGGCAGATGAAAACAACACTAGTTTGGCATTTACTTGAGCTGAGGGTTTGTTTAATGACACTGAGCGTCTTCAGATTGCTAATGGAAGTCTGTTCACTTGTTCTCAATCAGGATCTGGACCTTGTTCACCAGCTCTCGGGCCATGAGCAGCAGCTTCGGGACGTCGTGATGCTCAGCCATTTCTAGATCAAGACACAAAGGACAACATCACAGCGGCTCTGATTCTGCATGGCTGCTCAGTAGGGCTGGGCGATATGGCAAAATTGACCGATTTTTAACTAGTCAACTTGTAAATGTAACTACAACATGATTCAAGTAACTTTCTTTATTAACCCTCTAGTTAAAGAAAATTCTATTCCGAGTGCAGCACACATGAAGATGTCAACATGATGTAAATGTTAAGCAAATCACTTGTTAAATATCTTTGCAGAAAAGACGCATGAACTACAACTAATTGTACAAACTTGTCTTACACATATTATGTGTTCAGCAATAATACGAGGAAGATGCTTTAACAAAAAATCTCAAAAGTCAAGGTAATTCAAATTCAAAATGACTGAAGGTATAACACCAGTAGACTATTATTAACTATAAATGTTCTGTAAAAACAAAGAACAGCAGCTTTCAGTCTGTCGCTGTGATGCAAACATGAAATATCAGACATACAGTAGTAGTTCTTTACAGGTTTTTAATTCGATTGCGCTGCTTTTCCATTGTTTTTCTGTGAAACATGGACGTGTTTGACTCTTGCGCTCGCGTGTCTTGCATGAAACGGCTTTCTAACAACACACCGCTCACGTTAAAAGAAGTTCACTCCCATCTTCTTGCATGTTTTCCTCTTCCACTGCCGCGTCGCATCTTTATTAATACAAAAGCATGTTCTGTGTGATATGAGCGCGTCACACATGAGCGGTTAATCACGTGCGCCGACGTGCGGCTGGATCGTTCTTTTCTCTTTACTGTAATCACCGGCATATTGTGATTTCTAAAAAATTAAATCGTGGCAAAACATTACATTGGAATTAATCGATAAAATCAGAAAAATCGGCCAGCCCTACTGCTCAGTGATTGGTCAGTCAGCTCACCGTTGAAGAACTTGATGATGTCTGTGAAGTCCATGTTGTTCTCCAGGATGATGTCGCGGTACAGCTCCACCAGCGCCAGCGTGATAAACAGCACGAAGTGCTCCGAGGAGGCGAACCGTGCGGCCCAGATGGTCTCCCACACCGAGAACACGTCGTCGTACACCATTTCTGCAAGAAAGATGAACAACAGCACTCACTCACTCTGACTGCAGCAGCATCGTCAGGTGTTTCCAACTCCATACGAGCATCTTCAAGAATCGGCTAAAAACACATCTATCATTATTTGACGTTCTAACTCTAGCACTCTATTCTAATTCTGTTCTTTAAAAAAAAACTTGTCCCTTTTAGACTTGCACTCTTTTCATTTACTAATTGCTTGTTTTCTTTAAAAAAAAAACACACTAGCTTCTCTATTCTTTTTTAATTCTATCTATTAGTTTTTCTTTTTATTTATTATACAGTTAACGGGGAAAAAAAACCTTGCTATGTGTACTGCGTTAAACTAACTGAGACTTGTTATATAGCACTTGCATATCATTGCTCTTTTGCTGATTTTGATTGCTTTGTCCTCATTTGTCGGTCAATATACTGTACATGAGTCAGCTGGTGCTACATTACTATCATATTAAAGGTTAAAATTAGCTGATTTGTATACAAACACTTAAATTACACTCGATGAAGTTTTATAATAAAGTTATAATATTAACTCTACAATTACACAATTATATTTCTACTCCAATTAGTTTTGTGAAATATAAACACTTAAATGGTGGCTTTATTTATTTCAACATAAATTATACATTGAAGAACAGTAAAAATTATAATGAATATGTTATATAGTGCATCTATTTAGCAAAATGCTCCTCTCTATAAAAAAAAAACACACTAGCTTCTCTATTCTTTTTTAATTCTATCTATTAGTTTTTCTTTTTATTTATTATACAGTTAACGGGGAAAAAAAACCTTGCTATGTGTACTGCGTTAAACTAACAGACTTGTTATATAGCACTTGCATATCATTGCTCTTTTGCTGATTTTGATTGCTTTGTCCTCATTTGTCGGTCAATATACTGTACATGAGTCAGCTGGTGCTACATTACTATCATATTAAAGGTTAAAATTAGCTGATTTGTATACAAACACTTAAATTACACTCGATGAAGTTTTATAATAAAGTTATAATATTAACTCTACAATTACACAATTATATTTCTACTCCAATTAGTTTTGTGAAATATAAACACTTAAATGGTGGCTTTATTTATTTCAACATAAATTATACATTGAAGAACAGTAAAAATTATAATGAATATGTTATATAGTGCATCTATTTAGCAAAATGCTCCTCTCTAGAGTTAATTTTTCTAGCTGACTAATGAGTTTATGGTCACTGGATATGTTTTTATGGTAATGTGACATTACGTGAGACATTGTTTACAAGCTGTTATTTTGACATCTTTGTGCGGTTGAAACACCGATTGAGTGATTACATACTCTTTCTTTTACCACACCTTCGAATGTTTATTCATGTTTATTTTGTCCTGTAATCAGTTCACGCGCACTACAGCGATCTGTCACTCCACAAACAGCACCAAAATGGCATTTATTGTTTGAATATTGTAATAAAATGTACAGAATTTGAAATCGGAGGCTTTGTTTCATATCAAAAGTAACTAAGCACAATGCTTATTGAGATTGATTGGATGGGATGTGCGCTACAGTGTTCAGTTTATTAACTGAAAACAGGCTAGACTAATGGATTCTTGGGATTTAAGAATCAATATCGTTTTGTAAAAATGCAAATAGATTAAAATTCGAGGAACCAATATTTTTACTCTGCCCTACTCGCTCACACAATATTGTGTTCACGAGAACAAGACGAGATATTTTAACACTATATTTTTATAAAATCTTTAATTACAAAATATATGACTGCATATCATTTAGCAGACGCTTTTATCCAAAGCAACTTACAAATGAGGACAAAGCAATCAAAACTAACAAAAGAGCAATGATATGCAAGTGCTGCAACAAGTCTCAGTTGGCTTAACGCAGTACACGTAGCAAGGGCTTTTATTTTAAATTATATAATAAATAAAAAGCAAACAGACGGAACAGAAAAAGAATAGAGCATTTTTAGAGAATAGAGAATTTATTTTTTTTAAAGAAAACAAGCAGTTAGTAAATGAATAGAGTGCAAGTCTAAAAGGGGCCTTTTTTTTTAAAGAATAGAATTAAAATAGAGTGCTAGAATTAGAGGGTCAAATAAAGATGGAAGAGATGCGTTTTTAGCCGATTCTTTAGTTATTCAACAAAAGTCCAAAACGCAAAATGCAGGTGCATTGAATACTGAAATATAAAATGACTTTTAAAAAGAAAATGATACTCTAAATATGAAAGTAAAGCCTCCAATAGGTGGCGGCAAATCATTTTCTTAATGAGCGAGTCATGGAGTCATTCATTTAAACGGCTGATCAATTCAGAAACGAAGCAACCGACTGTCATTATGAATGAAACATTGACTCACTTGATTTGTTTAAAACCGTGGATTCTTTAAGTAATGAATCACCGCTGTGTGCTTACTTGCTGTATTTATTTGTTTATGATTTAATATTTATTTAGTTGGCATGTAATATTTATTTGCATTTTTGTTTTTTGCAGTATAAACGAGATGCAAAATGAGGTTTTTGCAGTGCGCTCGCCTCTCTTGAAGTCCAGGAGGAACCAGCGGTAGCAGAAGTAGAAGTGTGTGTAATCGCCGTTCTGCTGCATCAGCTCGAACAGCTCCGAGTCCAGAATCTGAAGAGGTGTGACCGAATCATGACATGAGACACACACACACACACACACACACAAAGTCCAAAACATCAGCAGAATGTGTTTAATAATGTGTGTTTAATAAGTAAACCTGGATGAGGGAGCGCATGTTGGCGAAGTGTGTGTCCATGGCTCCTCCGTGAGGGAAGTTCTGGTTCATTCGTTTCATGAGCTCAGTGAAGCAGCTGAAGGCCATGGCCTCTGAGTTACAGTCAAAGATCAATCAGAAACAAATAATCACTTGGCAATATAAAAGAGGCTTATTGCTTTAGTTTAAAATCACTAGTATCACAAAGTAGTGCTGTCAATCAATTAAAAAATTAACTAGTTAACCGCACATGTTTCTGAAATTAATCGTGATTAATCCCACCTTACATTAAAGTTTTTAAATATACTTTTATATTGCAATTTCACATTCAATCTTAAAATGAATGCACAAACAGCAAAGACAGTATATTTTTAATAGAGCTGTCAATTGATTAAAAAAATAACTAATTAATCACACTTTTTTTCTGAAATTAATCTCGATTAATCCCACCTTACATTAGTTTTTAAATATACTTTTTAGTTTAAAATCACTAGTATCACAAAGTAATGCTGTCAATCAATTAAAAAAATTAACTAGTTAACCGCACATGTTTCTGAAATTAATCGTGATTAATCCCACTTTACATTAAAGTTTTTAAATATACTTTTATATTGCAATTTCACATTCAATCTTAAAATGAATGCACAAACAGCAAAGACAGTATATTTTTAATAGAGCTGTCAATTGATTAAAAAAATAACTAATTAATCACACTTTTTTTCTGAAATTAATCTCGATTAATCCCACCTTACATTAGTTTTTAAATATACTTTTATATTGCAATAATTTCAAATTCAATCTTCAAATTAATGCACAAACAACAAAGACAGTGTATTTTTAATAGTGCTGTCAATTGATTAAAAAAATAACTAATTAATCACACTTTTTTTCTGAAATTCATCGCGATTAATCCCACCTAATATTAACGTTTTTAATATACTTTTATATTGCAATAATTTCACATTCAAATTAATGCACAAACAACATAAATACAGTATATTTTTAATAATTGTTTAATGGCATCTTTTTTTATAACTGAAGGCCAGTGACACTGATACCAATACTACTGCTGTCTTTATGAAATAGTTTTTTTTCCCCAATAATATTTAATCACTGACTATAGCCATTCAACACTGCAGTATAATCAAGAGCTAGCAATTGTAACATTTATTAGACTTAAAAAAAAAAAAAACTTCTAATTTAAGTGAACTTGAAACAATCATCGTATTTTCTCTCAACTCTCCTTCACCTTTTCTGACCCACTTCAGGTCTTAAAGTCTCTACTAATGAACTGACGAGTTGAATCGGTGCTTAAGATTAGAGATCTTTTGGTAATATTCACAATAAATAATTGTCCCATCAAGTTATATACTGTATTTGTCCAATCATATTTCAGAGGCAAAAATAATTATTAATTTTTATATTCAGACAATGCACAGTAGGGGTTAATGGAGTAAATAAGGTAAAACGCAGAGTTAACGTACCATCATCCAGGATGACCAGCAGGGGCGCGAGTAAGTCACACATTCCCTGGACGTATCCAATGTCAAGGTGCTGCCAAACGTAACTTAACGCACAAAAAAAACACTGTAAGATTCACTTACTCCACTTACTTTTAGATTTGGAAAAATTATACATTATATTCAACAAAAATGCATCAAAAGTGACAGTAAAAATATTTATAATGTTACAAAAAATTCCATTTCAAATACATGCTGTTGTTTTGAACTTTCTATTCATCTGTGAATCCTGAAAAATAAAATGTATCACGGTTTCCACAAACATATTCAGCAGCACAACTGTTTTCAACATTGATGATAATCAGAAATGTTTCTCGAGCAGCAAATCCGCATATTATACTGATTTCTGAAGATCATGTGACACTGAAGACTGCAGTAATGATGCTGAAAATCCAGCTTTGATCACAGAAATAAATTACATGTTATAATATATTCACATAGAAAATAGCTCATTTAAATTGTAATAATATTTCACAGTTTTTACTGTACATTTTAAACAAATAAATGCAGCCTTGATGAGCAGAAGAAACTTAAGAGACCATTACACACAGAATATAAACTAAAATATAAGATCAGCTTTATTTTACCTGCACATGATGTTGCGCAGTTTCTCCAGGTTTTCCGGGGTGAAATACCAGTAGTTTCTGTCACATCGATGGACGTCTTTGTCAATGCGGTGCAGATTAAGTGTGTAAAGGTCCACCAGCTCCTGCTGCAAAAGAAACGAGAAGACAAAATAAATCTTTGAAGATCACACACACACACTTTCATAGGAACAGTACAACCAGAAATGAGCCGAATCCTTTGACTTTCTATCTTTAGTGGAACACAAAATAAGATGTTTAACACGTTTAAAGGAGTGCAAAAATAAATTAAGTTTGGGTCTGTGCCTCACATAAAGCTACTGTATGATTTCAGAAGACTTGAAATATAGTACACAAGTCATATTAGCTACTTTCATTATGCTTTTTTGGAGTTTTGCTGTCTTGTCACAAAACATAAAACAAAACATTTATTTATTATCCTCTATTTAACCAAAGGAAAAACAGAATAATCAAAAATAGAACCAAATTCACACACAAAAAAGACATGGTATGTTTGTGTTTATTTACCAGTATCAAAGAGTAAAAAAACAGTAAACTAAAATAATAATATTTATTAAATAAATATTTATTTTATTTTAAGGTCCCATTGACCTTGGCAACGGAAGTCATAAGCTAAACTAAACTAGTACTTATTTAATTAAATGTATTTATTTTAAAAAAATTAGAATATTTCATTTTTTGTTATTTTATTTTATTTTAAGGTACCACTGATCTTGACAGTCATAAACTAAACTAAATACATAATTTGTTTTACCATGAAGTTTTCATTTCCAATTTATAAAGTAAACTAATAAATAAATAAAAAATATTAAAATATATTTTTAAATAAATTAAAAATGTATTTAATGATTTATTATTTATCCTGACCTTTAAAATAAAAGTCCTAAACTACAATATACACAAAAAATATACTATACTATACACTAAACTAAACTACTACTACTAAACTAAAAAAAAACTAAAAATTATTTAATGATTTATTTATTATTTATCCATACTTTTATCCTATTTATCCATTCGTCCTTATCCTTATCTTGACCTTTAAAATAGAAGTCCTAAAACTACACTATACACAAAAATGAGACTACTCTATATACTATACTATACTATAATATACTATACACTAAACTAAACTACTACTAAACTAAAAAATAAATAAACAAATAAATGTATTTAATGATTTATCTAACTTATTTACCCACCCTTTTATCCTATTTATCTATTCATCCGTCCTTATCCTTATCTTGTCCTTTAAAATAGAAGTCCTAAAACTACACTATACACAAAAAAATTAAATAATGATATTTTTTATAGAAGGCTCTCTTTTTAAACAATCCCTTTAAAGGGGTCATCAGATGAAAAATTCACTTTTACAAGTTGTTTGAACTGAAATGTGTCTTGGCAGTGTGTACACAACCACCCTATAATGATAAAAATCCACCCAGTGTTTTTTTTCCCTTTTTTTCCCCCCAATAACTAACTCCTTTCTCAAATCAAGCCGTTCTCAGTTTCTTGGCTTTGTGATGTCACACAAACCCAGGCCCCGCCCACGATTGTTGATTGACACTAGTGCTTTACCTTAGACCCACCCTGAGTGAGCTGTGAACAGTCCGCCATTGTTTCGACGCTGGATCAGATGTAGACAAGAATGTCTCTCCTAAGAGACTGAGGTGATTTGTTGTTGGATGTAATAATGAACATAGCAGTCGTCATTTACTCCCGACATCTGAGCCGCTGAAGACGCAGTGGATTACTGTTTTTGAAGGGAATGAGTCCCCCGATCTACCTAAATGTGTCTATGTTCGCGCGAATCATTCGTGATCCTGGTTCACCTACAGAATGTTTTTTTAAGAATCTTTGCAAATCGCCTTTCCTAATAATGTGCAAGTTTCATGATGAATGCGGCTAAAGTTTACCGTCTCGCAGAGAACTGCACGTCACCCCACAAAGAGAGGGGCGGTGTCAGCAGAGCTCATTAGCATTTAAAGGGACAGGCACCGAAACGGGTCGCTGTAAACAGAGCTGTTTTTGACAAGGTAAAAAGGGTGTTGTTTTACACTAACATTGAGAAATTTTAACCAAAGTATCTTATAGACTTTCCATTAAGACCCTAATGAATCATATCAACTTGTGGAAAATGGGCATCCGATGACCCCTTTAAACTGATTATGTTTTTGGTGATATACCGAGTAGGTGGTCCCAATAGACGACACTGGAGACGCGATGTCGTTCTTGTCTCCTGTGACGGCTAGAGAGTCTGGTTTGGGGGATGAGTTGCCCATCTCCGGTTCCTCCTCGGAGAGCGCCGAGTCTGTTCCCTCCGGACTGGTGTTGATACTCGGCTCCATGCAGAGCTCCAGAGCAGGCGCCACGGGACGAGCCAAAGTCAGAGGCGTCCTGGACACGCTGCTTTCCAAGGACATATAAACCACAGACGAAGCAATCTCCTCCATTTCCAGCGCCGAGGGCGAGTCGTCAGACATGTCCGGAGATTGTTTCGATAAGGAGGTGATGGGGCCGCAGCTCTCCGACTCTGATTCGGTGATCTGTTTGATTATGGATCGACCGGCATCCCAGCCGATCGTTTGCGGCGCACTGATGGCTTCATTCGGTGTTCGTATTATAGTCTGTGCTTCAGATAAACATTCAGGTTTGTTTTCATCCATTTGAGAGATTTTTGTAACGTCCAGCGACTGCTGTGGATCAGATTTGGCATCTTGGCCTTCATCCATTTTCATATACGCTTCTGGGTCTGCTTTTGATTTGGGGTTTTCTTCTCCAGACGGAGAAGACGCATGTCCTGGATCTTTAATCTCAACCTCTTTTGACTCTGAGGATTTGGTGGTTTCTTCAACAGGATCCTGTTGTGATTCATTCATGTCCTTTTGTTCAGATTTTCCAGCACTGTTTTGCATTTTAGTTTCTCTTTCAGACAAATCAGTTGCGTTTTTTTTTGAGTTTGCAACATCCTCTGAATCTGCCGCCTCATGCATTTCTGTCTTAGATGTTTCTTCTGAATTCAAAGTCTGGAGTTTGTCTTCTTCTGAATTCAAAGTCTGGAGTTTGTCTTCTTCTGAATTCAAAGTCTGGAGTTTGTCTTCTTCTGAATTCAAAGTCTGGAGTTTGTCTTCTTCTGAATTCAAACTCTGGAGTTTATCTTCTGAATTCAAAGTCTGGGGTTTGTCTTTTGCATTCAAAGTCTGGAATTCAAAGTCTGGAGTTTGTCTTCTTCTGAATTCAAAGTCTGGAGTTTGTCTTCTTCTGAATTCAAAGTCTGGAGTTTGTCTTCTTCTGAATTCAAAGTCTGGAGTTTGTCTTCTTCTGAATTCAAAGTCTGGAGTTTGTCTTCTTCTGAATTCAAAGTCTGGAGTTTGTCTTCTTCTGAATTCAAAGTCTGGAGTTTGTCTTCTTCTGAATTCAAAGTCTGGAGTTTGTCTTCTTCTGAATTCAAAGTCTGGAGTTTGTCTTCTTCTGAATTCAAAGTCTGGAGTTTGTCTTCTTCTGAATTCAAAGTCTGGAGTTTGTCTTCTTCTGAATTCAAAGTCTGGAGTTTGTCTTCTTCTGAATTCAAAGTCTGGAGTTTGTCTTCTTCTGAATTCAAAGTCTGGAGTTTGTCTTCTTCTGAATTCAAAGTCTGGAGTTTGTCTTCTTCTGAATTCAAAGTCTGGAGTTTGTCTTCTTCTGAATTCAAAGTCTGGAGTTTGTCTTCTTCTGAATTCAAAGTCTGGAGTTTGTCTTCTTCTGAATTCAAAGTCTGGAGTTTGTCTTCTTCTGAATTCAAAGTCTGGAGTTTGTCTTCTTCTGAATTCAAAGTCTGGAGTTTGTCTTCTTCTGAATTCAAAGTCTGGAGTTTGTCTTCTTCTGAATTCAAAGTCTGGAGTTTGTCTTCTTCTGAATTCAAAGTCTGGAGTTTGTCTTCTTCTGAATTCAAAGTCTGGAGTTTGTCTTCTTCTGAATTCAAAGTCTGGAGTTTGTCTTCTTCTGAATTCAAAGTCTGGAGTTTGTCTTCTTCTGAATTCAAAGTCTGGAGTTTGTCTTCTTCTGAATTCAAAGTCTGGAGTTTGTCTTCTTCTGAATTCAAAGTCTGGAGTTTGTCTTCTTCTGAATTCAAAGTCTGGAGTTTGTCTTCTTCTGAATTCAAAGTCTGGAGTTTGTCTTCTTCTGAATTCAAAGTCTGGAGTTTGTCTTCTTCTGAATTCAAAGTCTGGAGTTTGTCTTCTTCTGAATTCAAAGTCTGGAGTTTGTCTTCTTCTGAATTCAAAGTCTGGAGTTTGTCTTCTTCTGAATTCAAAGTCTGGAGTTTGTCTTCTTCTGAATTCAAAGTCTGGAGTTTGTCTTCTTCTGAATTCAAAGTCTGGAGTTTGTCTTCTTCTGAATTCAAAGTCTGGAGTTTGTCTTCTTCTGAATTCAAAGTCTGGAGTTTGTCTTCTTCTGAATTCAAAGTCTGGAGTTTGTCTTCTTCTGAATTCAAAGTCTGGAGTTTGTCTTCTTCTGAATTCAAAGTCTGGAGTTTGTCTTCTTCTGAATTCAAAGTCTGGAGTTTGTCTTCTTCTGAATTCAAAGTCTGGAGTTTGTCTTCTTCTGAATTCAAAGTCTGGAGTTTGTCTTCTTCTGAATTCAAAGTCTGGAGTTTGTCTTCTTCTGAATTCAAAGTCTGGAGTTTGTCTTCTTCTGAATTCAAACTCTGGAGTTTATCTTCTGAATTCAAAGTCTGGGGTTTGTCTTTTGCATTCAAAGTCTGGAGTTTATCATTTGCATTCAAAGTCTGGGGTTTGTCGTCTTCTGAATTCAAAGTCTGGAGTTTGTCTTTTGCATTCAAAGTCTGGGGTTTGTCTTTTGCATTCAAAGTCTGGAGTTTATCTTCTGAATTCAAAGTCTGGAGTTTATCTTCTGCATTCAAAGTTTGGGGTTTGTCATCTTCTGCATTCAAAGTCTGGGGTTTGTCATCTTCTGCATTCAAAGTCTGGGGTTTGTCGTCTTCTGCATTCAAAGTCTGGGGTTTTTCTTCTTCTGAATTCAAAGTCTGGGGTTTTTCTTCTTCTGAATTCAAAGTCTGGAGTTTGTCACTTTCTAAAGGTTTTATCGCAGCTTCTGAGGCAACGCACTCTGTTTGTGAAACCTCCACATCTTCTTTGACCGTGTGCTGAGTAGTGTAGCTGTTTTCTGGTCGCTCCTCTTTGGTCTTCTCTTCCGTCTGATCTCCTGACGGTGGCTCTCGGCCTGCGGTTTTGGGCCCCGACTCTTGTGTGGATGTCTCATCTGTGCTGGGAGAGCAGTCTGAGAGCACCGAGGTCACGGAGAAGTTACGGGATGACGGGTGTCCGGAGTCTGGAGAACTGGTGCAGTTGGGCAGAGTGCCGTTTGGAATTTTGGGCTGCAGCTTCTCGTCTTTGGGTTTGGGCTCAGATTCGATCGGGTCCACCTCGTCTACAGAGCCGAACACCTGCGGAAGGAGAAATAGACAGAAGGAGGAAAGTCAGACAACCTTTGCAAAATCATTGCATTTTATTAAATGTAATTATTTTATTAAATTAAAATTGTTTTATTAAATTAGATTTGTGAAATATTAAATATAAGTGTCACGAATCCGGTCCATGAACTTTCCATTTCATTGACTCTCGCACTACACACTGTTGCACATCACCCCGGACTACATTTCCCATCATGCATTACTGAATAAGGTTATAACATTATTTTATCCCTGCTCACATGAACTTGGTTACATTACCAGATACAGTGCATCCGGAAAGTATTCACAGCACTTCACTTTTTCCACATTTTGTTATGTTACAGCCTTTTTCCAAAATGGATTAAATTCATTATGTTCCTCAAAATTCTACAAACAACACCCCATAATGACAACATGAAGTTTGTTTGCAAATTTATTACAAATATTAAAATATTTTATTAAAAATAAAAAACAAATCACATGTACATAAGTATTCACAGCCTTTGCTCAATACTTTGTTTAAGCACCTTTGGCACCAATTACAGCCTCAAGTCTATGATGCTACAAGCTTGGCACACCTATTTTTGAGCAGTTTCTCCCATTCTTCTTTGCAGGACCTCTCAAGCTCCATCAGATTGGATGGGGGGGCGTCGGTGCACAGCCATTTTCAGATCTCTCCAGAGATGTTCAATTGGGTTCAAGTCTGGGCTCTGGCTGGGCCACTCAAGGAGTTGTTGTCCCATAGCCACTCCTTTATTTTGGCTGTGTGCTTAGGGTCATTGCCCTGTTGGAAGATGAACCTTTGCCCCAGTCTGAGGTCCAGAGCGCTCTGGAGCAGGTTTCATCAAGTATGTCTCTGTACATTGCTGCATTTATCTTTACCTTGATCCTGACCAGTCTCCCAGTCCCTGCCACTGAAAAACAGCCCACAGCATGAGACTGCTACCAGCACACTTTACTTTTGGGATGCTACTCTGCAGGCAATGAGCAGAGCTGGTTTCCTTCAAACATAATGCTTGGAATTGAGGTTCATCAGACCAGAGAATCTTGTTTCTCACAGTCTGAGGGTCCTTTAGGTGCTTTTTTGCAAATTTCTTTTCATGTGTCTTCACTGAGGAGAAGATTGAGTTTGGCCACACTGCCATAAAGCCCAGATCGGTGGAGTGTTGCAGCGATGTTTGTCCTTCTGTAGGTTTCTCCCATCTGCACATATGATCATGGAGCTCAACTAGAGTGACCATCAGCTTCTTAGTCACCAGTCTAACCAAAGCCCTTCTCCATCAGTTGCTCAGTTTGGCCAGGAGACCAGCTCTAGGAAGAGTCCTGGTTGTTCCTTAGCCTTAGCCCTAGTCATTCGCCTTAGCCTTCTCGGTTTCTGATCTTCGCCTGGTTCCCTGGATTCACCCCTTTTGTCTTGCCCCTTTGATTCTGTCTGCCGATCGTCGACCTGCTCTAGCCCTAGGACTATTCTTGTGTTTTGCCCACCATATACCTGTCTGACATTATCTGACCCATGCCTGTTTCATGACCACGTCTCTGTCTTCGTTTCAATAAAGCTTGCATATGGAGCCGCACGTCTCACGTCTCGTCAGCCCCGTTACAATAAGGTTATAACATTATTTTATCCCTGCTCACATGAACTTGGTTACATTACCAGATACAGTGCATCCGGAAAGTATTCACAGCACTTCACTTTTTCCACATTTTGTTATGTTACAGCCTTTTTCCAAAATGGATTAAATTCATTATGTTCCTCAAAATTCTACAAACAACACCCCATAATGACAACATGAAGTTTGTTTGCAAATTTATTACAAATATTAAAATATTTTATTAAAAATAAAAAACAAATCACATGTACATAAGTATTCACAGCCTTTGCTCAATACTTTGTTTAAGCACCTTTGGCACCAATTACAGCCTCAAGTCTATGATGCTACAAGCTTGGCACACCTATTTTTGAGCAGTTTCTCCCATTCTTCTTTGCAGGACCTCTCAAGCTCCATCAGATTGGATGGGGGGGCGTCGGTGCACAGCCATTTTCAGATCTCTCCAGAGATGTTCAATTGGGTTCAAGTCTGGGCTCTGGCTGGGCCACTCAAGGAGTTGTTGTCCCATAGCCACTCCTTTATTTTGGCTGTGTGCTTAGGGTCATTGCCCTGTTGGAAGATGAACCTTTGCCCCAGTCTGAGGTCCAGAGCGCTCTGGAGCAGGTTTCATCAAGTATGTCTCTGTACATTGCTGCATTTATCTTTACCTTGATCCTGACCAGTCTCCCAGTCCCTGCCACTGAAAAACAGCCCACAGCATGAGACTGCTACCAGCACACTTTACTTTTGGGATGCTACTCTGCAGGCAATGAGCAGAGCTGGTTTCCTTCAAACATAATGCTTGGAATTGAGGTTCATCAGACCAGAGAATCTTGTTTCTCACAGTCTGAGGGTCCTTTAGGTGCTTTTTTGCAAATTTCTTTTCATGTGTCTTCACTGAGGAGAAGATTGAGTTTGGCCACACTGCCATAAAGCCCAGATCGGTGGAGTGTTGCAGCGATGTTTGTCCTTCTGTAGGTTTCTCCCATCTGCACATATGATCATGGAGCTCAACTAGAGTGGCCATCAGCTTCTTAGTCACCAGTCTAACCAAAACCCTTCTCCATCAGTTGCTCAGTTTGGCCAGGAGACCAGCTCTAGGAAGAGTCCTGGTTGTTCCAAACTTCTTCCATTATGAATAATGGAGGCTACATGCTTCTGTGAACCTTCAATGCAGCAGAATTTTTTCGGAACTCTTCCCCAGATCTGTGCCTTGACACAATCCTGTCTCGGAGGTCTACAGACAATTCCTTGGACTTCATGGCTTGGTTTGTGCTCTGATATGCACTGTTAACGGTGGGACCTTATATAGACAGGTGTGTGCCTTTCCAAATCATGTCCAATTAATTGAATTTACCACAAGGGGCTCCAGTCGAGTTGTAGAAACATCTCCAATTTTGAGTGTCATGGCAAAGGCTGTGAATACTTATGTACATGAGATTACAATAATAATAAAAAATTAAAAATAAGTGTTTTGTGTGAAGCGCTGTGAATACATTCCGGATGCACTGTAAAACAAGTTATTTCAGAGATGGCGAAAGATTTTATATTATTATTATGATGTTGTTATTATTAGGGCTGGGTATCAATTCAGATGTTCCAATTCGATTCGATTTCGATTATCAAGCTCTCAATTCGTTTCGATTTCGATTTGATTTTTGATTTCAATTCTCGATTCGACTATATGAATGAATATAGATTTAATACAAATAAGATTACAAATGGTTATTTAATAGGAAATTAATGAGCCACAAACCTGTATATTAAACACTTTTTATTTTAGGTACACTTTGGTACAATAAAACAAAACCCAACTCTATATTTCAAATGCATAGAAATGAATAGACAGAATTTTGATGCAAGATGAAAAACTGATGCTGAAAATTGGACAAGTCAGAACAGTCGCATGCCTTGATCAAACAGGATCAGGTTATTTTATGTTTAAGACAAAACAAACAAAATCTCACAGCATTAGCTGTAACATGGAGGCTGCAAGCCTATGAACGGTGTAGGAAAACTAATACTGGCTTTTGGGTGATAGTTCACCCAAAAATAAAAATTCTGTCATCATTTATGCATGTATGAATTTCTTTTCTTCTGTTGAACACAAAAGAAGATATTTTGAAGAATATGGATAACCACACTGTTTTGGTCCCCAGTCAGACAATGTAAGTCACTTAATATTAACTTCTTGTTTATTGTATTGTATTGTATTAAATCAGTATCACATTTACAAACTGTAAAAGCTGTCACTCATCTTAGTTCATCTCGATCTCACATCTATAATCAACGAAGCTCTCTACACTGCGCAATGAATCTCTCACTTTGCTTATGAAAGGATTCGTGAGATACGTCTGTGATGCATTACTCAACGCTGCAAAAACACGTAGAAACATTTGAAGCTCCCCTGAGCGCAATCACAAGTATGATGATGATCAGGTCAGTTGCACTGGTGCTCCTAAAAATTTTTTTATAGTCGCACGCAGTAGTTTTCAGTCGCAAATGCAAATGGTCGCACTGTAGAGCCCTGGAAGGTGGTGTTGACGTCGGGAACGCACCTGAATCTGCCATTTTAAGCAATGAATGAATGACGGACTCTCCGTTGTAACATCGCACAAGGCAAATAAGGGGGTGACATCTAGTGGATTAGACTAGTAATAAGATTAACGTACATCTTATGTTCAATGTTTGTGGAAATAAATATTGAAAAAAATCGATTCGTGGCCTTCGAGAATCGATATTGAATCAACCACATTTTAAAAAAACGATATATCGAAAAATCTATTATTTTTTTTGCCCAGCCCTAGTTATTATTACTATTATTAACACAATTATGAAAGTTTAAGACATTTTTAAAGAAACCAATTAAATTTAATTATTACATTTAATATAATTATCGATATAGTTATTAATGATTATATTAAAATAAAATAGTTTAATTAAATCATTTATTAATCAATAATAAAAAAAATATTAATTAAAATTAAAAGTTAGATATCTCAATATGAACTCGAACATTTCTTACCAAATTCAAATATCACATGACCTCGGCTGTGCCACATCAAAGTCCCTTTCAAGTATTTCTATAGTCTTTGGCCACATTAATTTTACAGCTCTGTATTCATACTGTTTGACAGCTACTGACTCATTTGTGTTTAGGAGCAGCATCTGTGATGAAGTTAAAGCAGGCATGAATAAGATCTATATAAGGTAGGTTGTGTTTTGACCTGAGTGCTGCTGTTGGAGTCGCTGTGTGATCCGGCGTGACTCTGTTTCTCGGAGCTGCTGCTCTGAGACGACTGCAGAGAGAAACACAGCGGCAGTCAGTAAACCTGCATGCAAACCTCAGCGCACGAGTACAGGCGACTCGAGCGCCAGCGCTTACGTCTGTGCTGATGGTGGAGTCCTGGCGCGAGCCACGGTCCACGCTGGCGCCCGATGCGCATTTGGCCAGAGCGGCGGCGTGCTGCTCCTTCTCCCGCTGACGCACGATGGCTTCACATCCCAGCCACTCGCTCATGGTCTGCTCATAACAGGCTCGAACCTGCTCGTCCATCTGCAGAGAACGGCAGGGTTACGCTTACCAGTCGGTAGGTCTGGGCGATTTTTCAGATTTTATCGATTAATTAGAATTTAATGTTTTGCTACGATTTTATTGTTTAGAAAAAGAGAATCGCGATTTTGAATAGAAATTAGTACTGTCAAATGATTAATCGCGATTAATCGCATCCAAAATAAAAGTTTTTGTTTACATAATATATGTGTGTGTGCGGTGTATATGTCTGTAGTAAATAAAAACTAAATAAAATTGTTAATATGGCTAGTAAGATTGCAGGGAAACAACAGCACAGTCTGATAAAACTATGTGAATTTCAAGCTGTGAGGAAAAGCCATGCAATTCTTCGGGATGCATCACATCCTCTTTGTGGTGAATATGAGTTATTACCATCTGGTCGAAGTTACAGGGTACCATTATTACGGACTCCCCGTGCACAAAGATATTTTATATCATCCAGTATAGCTCTGTTAAATACATTTTTGTGATATCACAGTTGTCATTTTACATCTATGGCAGTGATTCTGTTGTTGTGAGAGGGATGTTGTTTGATGCTGGTTGTATTTATATGTGATGTGTTGGAACCTGTTGATGTTTGGATTTGTTAATTATTGTTGTTGATCACTGAAGAGTTGCCACAGATACAAAAAGAAAGGACGATAAACTAACTAACTGTATTTATTATGTATATATAAATACACACACATGCATGTATATATTTCAGAGAATTTTTATTTTTATATATTAAATGTATTTATTTATAATATAAATTATATGAATATAAATATAGACATGTAAATATGTTCAAAACATATGTGTGTGTATTTATATATACATAATAAATATACACAGAACACACACATATATTATGCAAACAAATACTTTTATTTTGGATGGGATTATTAATCGCGATTAATCGTTGGACAGCACTAATAGAAATATTACCAAACGTTAGAATTAGAAACTTTGACAATATGTCAATGATAACATAAGGGTGTGCGATATGACGATTTTTGATCGTGGACGATTAAAATGTCTCAACGATTTGCTTTTGAAGAAATATCATAGTATCGTGCTACAGCGCACATTATATCAGCTGCAGTTCTGGCACCTCCTCCGTATCAGTATAATGTACAATGCCACATACATTCACTTCAGTGTTAACTCGGCGATAGAGTTGCTCTCACGGAACATTATATTTATTATTCGCAATCACAAAAGTACATTATTTGCATGTGTTTTAAAGCCTTGCCGGTTAAAAGTTTCATTCATGGAATATAAATATAGACATGTAAATATGTTCAAAACATATGTGTGTGTATTTATATATACATAATAAATATACACAGAACACACACATATATTATGCAAACAAATACTTTTATTTTGGATGGGATTATTAATCGCGATTAATCGTTGGACAGCACTAATAGAAATATTACCAAACGTTAGAATTAGAAACTTTGACAATATGTCAATGATAACATAAGGGTGTGCGATATGACGATTTTTGATCGTGGACGATTAAAATGTCTCAACGATTTGCTTTTGAAGAAATATCATAGTATCGTGCTACAGCGCACATTATATCAGCTGCAGTTCTGGCACCTCCTCCGTATCAGTATAATGTACAATGCCACATACATTCACTTCAGTGTTAACTCGGCGATAGAGTTGCTCTCACGGAACATTATATTTATTATTCGCAATCACAAAAGTACATTATTTGCATGTGTTTTAAAGCCTTGCCGGTTAAAAGTTTCATTCATGTGCTGTTCTGACGTGCACCCGAAGCGCACTAAAAAGATCAAACGGTGACTTCTGCTCACCTCTTTGCGCTCTGTGAGGCTCATGCTGAAGTGATAGTGGCCCAGAAGGAAGGGCCAGACCTCCTTACGCAGAGTCGGCTCCACTCCGCCATAATACACCAGCCGGAGCAGCTCCTTCTCCTCGTACGCCTGCACAGCGGTCTTATATTACAGCCAGTGCCATATTACAGGCTTTATTCAGAATCAGAATATGCTTTATGATAACATATGTGACCCTGGAGCACAAAAGCAGTCATAAGTAGCACAGGTATATTTGCAGCAATAGCCAACAATACACTGTATGGGTCAAAATGATCGATTTTTCTTTTATGCCAAAAATCATTAGGATATTAAGTAAAGATCATGTTCCATGAAAATATTTTGTAAATTTCCTACCATAAATATATCAAAACTTAATTTTTGATTAGTAATATGCATTGCTAAGAACTTCATTTGGACAACTTTAAAGGCAATTTTCTCAATATTTTGGGTTTTTTTTGCACCAGATTTTCAAATAGTTGTATCTCAGCCAAATATCCTAACAGTCCTATCCTAACAAACCATCAATGGAAAGATTATTTATTCAGCTTTCAGATGATGTATAAATCTCAATTTAAAAAAATGTACACTTATGACTGGTTTTGTGGTCCAGGGTCACATTTATGGGGTTTTTTTGCACCAAATTTTCAAATAGTTGTATCTCAGCCAAATATCCTAACAGTCCTATCCTAACAAACCATCAATGGAAAGGTTATTTATTCAGCTTTCAGATGATGTATAAATCTCAATTTAAAAAAATGTACACTTATGACTGGTTTTGTGGTCCAGGGTCACATTTATGAAACATCAAGAGGCTATAGATCAAGTGCACTAGATAGTGAAGGTCACGTACAGTGCTGTCCTGTAGAAAGGTCTTCCACACTTCTGCGGACAGACCGCTTCTGGCATCATAGGGGATGTCGGGCTCAATGATAGCGGGGTTCACCAGAGCAGACAGGTGCGTGCGGACGGTGGACAGGTGACGGCAGTACGCCAGCCCTTAAAAACACACACATCACGTCATGAGAACGAGCACGAGTGCATCAGCAGACCATGAGCCTGATGTGATACATACAGCCATAGAAAGCGCGGGAGATGATCTGGTGCTTCATGGTCTCGCAGAGCAGCTTCAGCGGAGCCCTGTTTCACACACAGACAGACACGGTAAAGGAGTCATGGCATGAGAAATCAAATTTGCCTTGATCTTTTGGCTTATAAGAGGTCTTTGTACCATTAAAACATCCTGCAAGTTTCATACCTTAAGACGTTCTCCTCATTATAAACAAAGCATTTATTTAATCAAGCTCCAAATACGGCTCGTTTTGGATCCAGTGGGGCAAGGTGACGTCAGCTAGCACCAGTCGTTTGCATAAACACTGCCTCCAGACCAAGACATCACCATAGGCCCACTATGGGCGCTAATCATGCTGAATGCGAGCATCGCGTCGCATCAAAAGCAAATAGAAATCACAATCACTGCCCGCTATCTTGTCTACACTGGATACAAACAGAGATTGTCTTACTATAGGGAGATGAGAGGGTCTGTATTACCAAAGTCTCTTTAAGACAAGTCATGTCACTCGGCGGCCATCTTTGAAATGCCGCTCGGGCATGCAAGTGCAGCTCCTATCTCTTTGAATGGGGAAACATCAAATTCTCCAAAACTATTTACTAAGTTTACCTTTAAATTTGAAATCACCAAAGAAATCTGACAACAACTGTGTCATAAATGTTGTTTCTTTTGCTCAAATAGCGTTATAAAAAGCTTATTTTTCAGGCTAGATCAGCCAGTGCGCATGCGCAGTCCTAAGCGCGCATCTCAGAACGCTGACTGTTTCTATAGCAACCGGGACTTCTAATGGCAGCTGCAGTGACGTGCTGACTTTACTGATTCGCGATTGGCTCTTTCATTCAAAAGGTGGAGCTTTCTGCAATTGAGCGGCCATATTAAGCGTTGGATTTTTCCCCATTCAAAACTATAGGAGTGACGTGTCTTGGGTATTCTATAGTCTTTGGTATTGCTTACTATTGGAGAAAGCGTAATGGCTAACTTGGATCACATGTGCCTTAATAACCAATCACATTACAGCCTTGAGGTCAATCAAAGTTGTACAACACTCAGTCGCCGTTTATGCATGTCATGGACGTCCACTTAGACTTATGCTCTCCTATACTCACATAATAACCTCTCCCTTCTAAGTATGACCTGAACCATTTGATTACCATGCCAGAAAGCCCGACCAAGTTTTCCAGTCTCTCTAGTAGTATGTTATGATCGACAGTATCAAACGCAGCACTGAGATCTAGTAGTACCAGCACTGATATTTTGCCAGAATCAGTGTTTATTGTAAAACAGAATCGTGTTTAGTGTAAAATATGTTGAAGATTAGGAGATAGGTTGTCGATTCGTTAAATGATAAGCCGTTTCCCCTAAAAAGCTGTTTATTCAGCGTAGTGAAGCCTCTCCTCCATTGACATCCATTAAAAAAAAAAACGGCCTCCTTTCCGTTAGCATTAGCCGTTACGCTTTTAGGCTCGGCTTCTAGTGGTACAGTATACAGATGCACATTCGCTTTCTGACACACGCTCGAGTCTGTCGTCAATAAAATAAATGGAGTGAAGGAACGTTCGCTTTGACGCGTTTGGTTTAAACAGCTCGTCTGCATCTTTGTACAGATATCAGAAGGTTCCCAGCATAAGGAACAAGTGAGTACAAGTGAGTTTATTTTTAATGGCATCCTGGATCGTGTCAGAGGATTGTTTGGAGCATTTTGTTTTGTAAAGGAGGCACAGTGTCAGAGAGAGTTCACAAAGAAACATTTGTTGAAAGATGAAGCGGTACTAGATCTGACTGCAGCTGCATCACAAACCATAAGTAAATGATTTCATAATGCTTTGTCTGGGAATGACCGTTTTATTTTGACGATGTTGTCAAAACATGCAATAGCGAGGGGCCATTGATACCATACATATATCTATGGTTGATACTCTTTCCTATGGAAGCCCGTTTCCACCACTGAATAAAAAAAAATTTAAAAAGGTTATTGCGACTTTTCATCTCACAATTTTGACTTTTTCACAGAATTACGTGATATAAACGCACAATTCTGACTTTTTTTCTCAGAATTGCGTGATATAAACTCACAATTGTGAGAAAAAACGTCAGAATTGCGAGTTTTTAATCTTGCAATTGTGACTTTATATCTCGCAATTCTGACTTTATAACTCGCAATTGTGAGTTTATATTAGGGATGCTCCGATCGATCGGCCGATAATCACATTTTATGACTCGATCGGTACTCACTACACTTGGCCGATCTCACGAACCGATCGCAATTTGATGACGTCAACGCGTGACGACGTGCATGATGCGTGGGGACATAAATGATTTGGCGCCACAGTCATGTCATTGCCGGTGTGGAAATGCTATGACGTTTCGAGAAACAATGAAAAATTCGCTATTTGTCGTGTATGTATTGCATGATGATATGATGAATGGATGGTTCATTTTTAACAGCAGATTCAGTGACGTTAGAGACTAGAGCTGATCTACGCCTCACTGCACACATCTGCCGCGCGTTACGGCTCCGCGGCCGCTCTAGTCAGTGCTTGTGTTTATGAGCCAGCCGTGGCACGTTTCTGACGCAGCTCTCCGCGCTGCTTGGCTAAAAATAGTCTTTTGTGAGTTGTCACAGCGTGGAGGACGGAACAAAACCTCGTTGGAGCCGTAAGGGATAACGGTAACATTATAGCTACGCTGATCGTGGGCTGCTTTTAAATGAACATTTACTTATAAAACAAAATATCTTCTTTGGCCATATTAGCCTACTCAATAACATCAACACAGGCTTTACTCCTTTCAGACTTTATCTGGAATGTCACCGTTTCTGTCACTGCAACTTCCCGTACAGGCGAACACACACACACGAAATCGTCTGCCTCATGAAAAAAAATTTATAAAAAAAAAAATTTAGTTAATATTTGCATTTATTATTTATTTTATCCACCCGCGACCCACCCGCAAATAATCAGAACGCATTTTTTATTACCCGACCTGTGGATATAAGAAAAGCAAAATATGTTTGCAGCGTAAATCAGACGGACTTACTGAAAAAGCAAATTAATTCTCTGCCAGCAGGAGGTGCTTTAAAGCGGGAGAAACAGAGGTTTCCCCAGTAACGGCTGTACACAAAGCAGCGCTGAGCTCACAAACGCTGCTTTATCAGGCACATAACATGCAAGATGAAATGAAAATGACATCGACAATTTTCTAAAGATAGTCTTCCTTCAGAAATACAGTGATATAAAAACACCCTCGCCTCGTTTTGAGTTTTAAACGTGCAGTACGTGCTCATGTTTATTCAACGATGCCTTTTGGAAAATCCGTCAGTTTTGATATTGTGGCGAGCGCCACAAATAAATAAATGGCACAACCACCTGCGCCCAACTTCAGTCTATTCATCACCTTAACTTTAACTGTGTTTGTAGCCGGCGCCATAGCCAGACTGATAAACAAACACAGACCGGAAGGTAACTTCGGGACAGGCGCGTGCGCCCGATGAAACCGTCTATTTAAAGCTTGAAGCATCAGAATCGGCATCGGTATCGGCCGATCACCACATCGGTACTCAGTATCGGCTGCAAAAATCCTGATCGGAGCATCCCTAGTTTATATCACGCAAAAAGTCCGAATTGTGGGATAAAAAGTCGCAATTACCTTTTTTTTTTTATTATTCAGTGGCGGAAACGGGCTTCCATAGTTTCCTCTGCAGTGATGTTAGCCAATCATAACAGTGGCCGAATACTGACAAGCCTTAAAGGACCCGCCCCTTAAAAACAGCCCGTTTCTGAGAGGTTCAGAATGAGGGTTGAAAATAATTATTTCTTGTGCAAAAAACTTTATTAACATCATAAGTAAACCTCAAGGAACCTATTAAAATAACAACAAAATCCATGCCATGACCCCTTTAATTCACATCACACACATAAGACGAGCCGCAGACTAGCCTGTCATGGTTGCATCCGTTGGGAAGGCCGCCCTCCGACGAGCCGTTCTGCAAACAGGAGGAACAAGACGACTTCCTAGGCGTGGGCTGCCACATGTTCACCGTCTGATCCATCAGCTCCGGTGCCACTTTAACATGCAGAAAGCCAATTAGCATCATATTCACGACCAGTGAACACAGAGAGCAGTCAGATGGAAACCCATATGAAAAATAAAATGTGTATGTTCTACCTGAAATGAAGATGTGTATAGAATTCAAACTATACTGATTTGTATAAACAAACAAGAAAAAGGGTGATTTTTTTCTTTCATACACTGAAATGAACTGCTTTCACAGTATGAAAGAAAAACTAATATGGGGCAAATGAAAAAATATACATATCTACTATTGCCAATGATATCCATCTAAAAATATTTATCAAATTTGTAAAATTTACTACATTAGGGAAAAAAAATATATATATATAGGTCTATAATATTTATTTATATTATTGTAGATATGTATATTTACAATAATATTTACTGTAAACGGTCTTGGGAACTTTAAAAACATGCTATGAATTTGGCCAGTAGATGGCGCTGAAGACGTAGTTATTATAGTTAACTAAAACCATTTTTAAAAATCAGTCTTTGAAAATAAAATATAAAAATGTGACCTTTTTTAAAATTGTATCTACTTTGCAAAGGCAACATTTCTCATTTTAATTTAGTTTGACCTGATGTGCTAAAATAACACAAATAAAATTAATAAACGCATTTAATAACAAATGAATACATTCAAGACATTTAAAAAACTAAAGTTTTAAAATAACAACACACACCAAAATTACTAACAATTCTAATCAATTTAAAATGAAAAGATAAGATATAAAAAATAAAAAGTTAAAATATTAATAAACCCATAAAATAACAATTTAGTTGCTTCTATCCAGCACAAAACAAAACAAAAATATATTTTATAACAATTGTATTTAATTTTAGTTCGTTTTGAAGCAGTTCGGGACTGTGTTAGTTACATTTTTGTTTTCATTCTTACGTTTTGAATTTTAAATAATTTATGAGGTCATTTAAAAAAAAAAAATTTTAGTTTTAGTTTATCTATAATAATCTTGTTTGAGAACATCTTAATACTAGCAGATCAAATTCACGTTAACATACCGAACTCCTGAATGCCAGGAAATATGATCCGAAACACATAATCAGTGGCCTCGTCTTCCTCTTTGTCCGAGAACGACTCGCTGGATTCATGTGGACTTCTTTTACGCAGCTTTGGAAACACTTTTCCCTGAGGAAGAACACAGAATGATCTCGTTTCTATTCAAACTGCTGAAGAATGACTGTAAAGCGCTGGGCAAACCTTTCCTCTTTGGGACCAGAGCGGAGGATCTAACTGTCCGCGAGGAAGGAGGCCCGTCTCCAGACACGTGAGGAACTGCAGCAGGTGACCGCCTTTAGGAAAGCGAAGCGGAGGCCTCTGGATCCCGTCCTGACTGACCAAAACCACAGTACCTCCACTGCCCACTGCACACAGACACCGCAGACAAACCTTCAGACATCAAGCCAATGTGAGGACTTGCTTTAACCCTTTAAAGCTACTGCATCATATTTGATACGCAAAGTCCTTTAAATGATGAAAACTTTGCTGTTTCGCACTCAATCTACGGCATGTCTTCTGTCTCTGGTTGATAGTTTAGAGTTGCAGTAAAAGCTCTTTTAGTGTAATTGTAGAACTGTGTGTTGTGTTTTGCAAAAAGTGTTATATGTGAGCCTGCAGCACAAAAGCAGTGTTGAGTCGCTGGGGGATATTTGTGTGTGCTTCTGCTGTTTGAGTCTCAGTTTTCAGAAATTGCGTGACAAGGAAAGATTTTGTGTGGAAGCAGCTGAGAAAAGCTGTAACTGCAGGGCATCTTACGAGAGCCGGGCGTTTGGTGGGGGAATCCTGGCGGCAGTGTCCGCTGTGTATGCGGTGTCTCTGCACCAGTTCATCAGCCGACGGATCCGTCCAGAAATGATTGGCCGTCTTGGCTTTTGTGTACTCCAAAGCACAGGGACCGACTGAAAGACACACAGCGGATGGAAATAAACAAAAATATACAGTACAATTAAAATGATCATTAATTTACTTTTTCAAATAAATATATAATTATATATATATATATATATATATATACATATAGCAATATATATTTAATGCAGTATTATATTTGTAACAATATAAACTACTATTCAAAAGTTTGGGGTCAGTACTTTTGTTTTTTTATGAAAGAAATTAATACTTTTATTCATCAAGGATGCATTAAACTGATCAAAATTGACAGTAAAGGCATTTATAATGTTACAAAATATTTATATTTCAAATAAATGCTGTTCTTTTGAACTTTCTATTCATTTGTGAATTGTGAAAAAATAAAATGTGTCACGGTTTCCACAAAACATTGGGCAGCACAACTGTTTTTAATGGTTGATAATTGATAATAATCAGAAATGTCTCAAATCAGCATATTATACTGATTTCTGAAGATCATGTGACACTGAAGACTGGAGTAATGATGCTGAAAATACAGCTGCGCATCACAGAAATACATTACAGTTTAACATATATTCACATAGAAAACAGCTGTTTTACATTGCAATAATATTTCGCAAATGTACTGTATTTTTATAAAATAATGCAGCCTTGGTGAGCAGAAGAGACTTCTTTTAAAAATCCCAAACTCTTGAATGGCAGCGTAAATATAATCTTCAGTTGTTTTTTTCCCCAAACAAATTACAAGACACAAATGCTTGAAAACTGATACCAAGCAAAGATGCGAGGATTGGGCCGTCAACTGGATCTCTCAGAAGAGCTTCTCTTTCATAAAACTTGCTGAAATATGAATAAAAACAGCTCAGTTTAATTTCATTCATTCAAATGAATCTATGTTCATAGTAACATACTACTGCCTAGTTTGCATGTTTTCCATTTCCAGTGTAATAAACTAAGTGTAACTGGAGGCCTGATTTCAAACACCTCCCTTACGTCTCATTATTTGATTTGACTGCCCATGAAATATATACACAAAACTGGACTAAGTATGCAAAATAATAGTTTTTATTTATAACCTGCAGCACAAAAGCAGTGTTGAGTCGCTGGGGGATATTTGTAGCAATAGCCAACAATACATTGTATGGGTCACAATTATACATTTCTCTTTTATGCCAAAAATCATTAGGATATTAAGTAAAGATCATGTTCCATGAAGATCTTTTGTAAATCTACCGTAAATATATCAAAACTTAATGTTTGATTAGTAATATGCATTGCTAAGAACTTCATTTGGACAACTTTAAAGATGATTTTCTCAATATTTAGATTTTTTTGCTCCCTCAGATTCCAGATTTTCAAATAGTTGTATCTCAGCCAAATATTGTCCAATCCTAACAAACCATACAGCAATGGAAAGCTTATTTATTCAGCTTTCAGATGTCAATTTTGAAAAATTGACCCTTATGACTGGTTTTGTGCTCCAGGGCCACATTTGTGAACTGAATGCCACTGAATTTAAAGATGGGGTAAGCGATTTTTCAAAAACGCTTTAGAAAATTGATTCGGGCTGAATAGCAAAACAAACTTGTAGCCAATCAGCAGTAAGGGGTCGTTGCCTGGGTTGCGTATGTATGTGTGGGGCGGAGCTATCAAAATAGGGGCGAGACCCTTTCGGGATAAGGGCATGTTGTTTTGGTGATTTCAAATGTCAACATTGGCTACCAGAAATCGCTTACCCCACCTTTAACATGTAACATAAACATGAACACAGTGTACTAGTCTTCCATTCCAGACCACAGTCTGTAACCTGTCAGAAATTATATCTTTTATTATATATGAATTCCTCGCCTGCTGTTCTCCACCAAATACAGGACGATTTTGTCCAGCAGCTTCTCTGTGAGGGCCGCGCGGATCCACAGGTGTTTGACGGCCAGCGGCGACAGGTTTGGAGGCCGGGGCTGTTTCCGGACGCTCTCTTGACTCGTCTGACCCTGGTTTTGTCTTGTGTTGTGAAAGTTAAAATCATAGTGATTTAATGAAAATCAAATTAACTGACCCTATTTACTTTGGATCCTTAATACTCAAATATACGATTCATCAGCACACAATCATCATTCATTTTAAACCAGCAGAAATATTTAGATTACTAATTTAATAATAATAATAATAATTAGTATTATTGCTAACAATAATAAGAATAATTAAATGTAAATAGACATGATTAACAATTCATATAATAATAATAAATGAATAAAATTATATGTAATTATATTTTAAATATAATTAAAAATAAGTAAATAAATACAATAATGATAATGTTTTTATTATTCATTATTGTTAAAATTATTATTACTATTTTTGTCATTATGTTTCATTTATATAGCACCTTTTTAAAGAAAAGGAACAGAAAAGAAAAAAAGATAATGCCAGAAATGTGACAATTTTACCTAAACATAGCAATAATAATAATAATAATAATAGTTACTATTATTAGTAGTATTATTCATTGTAAAATATTAATAACTAATTGATTAAAATTAATATAACACCCTTATAATGCTAATAATAATAATAATAATTATATTTTTCATTTATATAACACCTTTCTAAGAAAAAGGAACAGACAAAGAATACAGGGTAATGCCAGAAATGTAAGAATTTAACCTAATAATAATAATAATTGATTAAAAATAATATAATAACATCCTTTATAATAATAATAAAAATGTTATTATTTTTTATTAATTATAATTTATTTTTAAAAGGGAAAGGAACATACAAAGAAAACACTTGTATTGTTTCTCACTTGTTCTCGATGATTTGCTCCAGTTCCTGAACTTTTCTGCAGAGTTCCTCGGCTGGTGGAAACATCTTCCCCATCTTCATGAAGAGAGCCGCCAGCTTGTTGCTGCGCAGGAATCCAGCGGCCCGTCGCTTCAGGCCGTGAAGAACACACGCTTCCACC